TTCTTTGACTTAAGCAAAATGACAGATTAGTGGTGCCAGTAACTAAGATGGCTGAGGATTTGGAGAGAAAAATGAAGCCTTTTGTTGTGGAAATTTCAGATATGCCTACTAGACATCCCAGGTAGAGCTGTTAACCAGGCACTTACAGTCCTGAGGTCAAAGTGTAGGACTGCATATAAAGATTGGGTATCATTGGTATAAAGCATGTTACTGGGAGAGTGTGTGGAAAACAAGGGAAGGAAGCCCCAGAAAAGCCAAGCAGAGGAACAAGAGTCAGCAAAGTACATGAAAAGGTCTTTGTAATAGAAGAAAACCAACAGAGAGGTGTAATGGAAGCTAAGAAGAAAATAATTTTTAGAAGAGAGTGGTCAGCTGTCCTTTTATGAAAAAGCAGCCTATACCCAAAACTTAGTTTTAAAAGCCCAAATTACAAGATTTTGGACTCTGTAAAGTTTCCTATGTACTTTAAACATGTAGTGAAAAAAGAATGATGAAAATTAGCTTAGTGCCACAGAGTGATAGAGGCCTTTGAGAGAGGGGAGAGTGAACAGTGCTGATAAATAGGAAATGGATAGGAAGCTCTGCTGTTGACGTCCTTATAGGTCTCTTCTCCTTTCTTGCTTTTCATTTTCTTTTGAATGTCAATAGACTAGCAGCAATCTCTCATTTGATACTATCTTTCCAAGTATCTATGTTTCTAAAAGTTCTGCCTTCTGTTACAGAAATAGGAGAGTCAGACTTCAACAAAACTCCAGCCCTCTTTTATCCACTCATAGTTTAACTACTTTTACCAGGCTTTAGTGGCATTTTGTTCTAAAAATCAGACATCTATTTTGCTTAGCAAAATAGACTTTTTAACTATACATTGATAATTTGTACTAATTAGTTGATTTTAATATAATAATTTAATTTAATAATTAATGATAACTTCAAGTAGTGCTGCCAGTCTGAGCAGTATGCAATACCTGTAGCACATTTAATATTTCTGTTCTATCTAAAACTATTTTATAAAAACAATTATGTTTTTCTGTGATTACTCCTTTCTAGTAACTGCAATTGCTTTACCTTTAGAAGTTATATAGCATAAAATATAGTGATTGGGAGCATGATTCAGTTGATTCTTTCCTACAGGAAATTTTGTTAGAAATTACGTTAATGTGCTAATGACTTAAGGGTTTCTCTGTATCTTTTTGAAAATCAACAAGAACTCTTTTAGTCCTCATATGATACTGGTTGTTGAGACTTTTCAAGAAATGTTTTGAGTAGTTTACTTGGTTGTGTGGATTGTTTGGAATAATTATGTGGTAGCTTAGAAGAAGCATGGTAAAGATGCTTTTAATTTGCATATATGTATATAGTAGTGTCTAACCTGGAATTATCTTTACAGGAAAAAACAAAAAAGAAAAAGAAGCATAAGAAACACAGTAAGAAGAAGAAAAAGAAGGCTGCTAGTTCAAGTCCTGACTCACCATAACATTAAGAAAAATCAGGATTCTCTTATAAAGAAAGTGCAATGTCTGAGGAGATTTCAACTGTGAAACCTACAACATATTTACTAAAATGCATGAATTTTCTTGTTTTTAGAATTATTCCTGACTGTTCAGTAGCCACTCAGATGCCACTGTGTGAAAGGGCCATAAATGTTGCCTGCTGCTTGAACATCTATTTCTTTCAGTGCTTGATAACTCTGGGAGATAATACACTGCAGTCGTACTAGTGGTTAAGATATTTGGGAATAAAATTAATACTCTTGACTAGAAGTGTCTAAGGATAAAGCAACAGAAATTGAATCTGGATACACCTTTAAGATGTAATCAGAAATGACCAGATGACTCTAGTTAAAATTTTTGAAGGAGGGATTACATTTAATATTTCAGAACCCTTACTCTGTAGATAAGTATATTTTAGTTTTTTTCCCCTCGTATAATTTTATTTACCTGGGGAAGGAGCATTTAGGGTTGAGGGGGGTGGTTTGCTATCTCTTTAACTAGCAGAGTAGTGTGCCTTTGATCTTCACACATCCTGTATTGTGGACACAGTAGCCATGCTTCACTGGGAGGTCAGAGCTGGCTACCAGCAGTCTTGCCCTTTACTGAGCTTAATGTCATCCTTGGATGCTGTCATATGCTGCTTTGAGTGAACCAGAGAAACAGCCCTTTGCAGCATGAGAAAGCCCCAAAAGCTCTGGGATTTACCTCCACTTCAATAATAATGAATATTTTTTAGCATTAGAATGTGTTATGTTATTTGAATTAATTTTGATTATACTTTGGCTTGAGAGAGGAATTATTTTAAATAGACACTGGTACTTTTTGAACTTGATAGCTAAAGATTCTAAAATGCATGTTTTATACTAAGTTTTAACCGGTCAGGAAAATTTTATGTAACCAGTGATAGTTTATTTTTTGTATGAATTTTGTTTAGGCTGCAATATTTAGCTTTTGTTAACTCCTCACTCTTGCTGTCTTAAGTTCATTACTATGTTTAATGGCCTACTTGCCAAGATATTTAGCATGTAAAAAGCAGGGTTTTGATTAAAAAAAAAAAAAAAAAAAAAAAAAAGCTTCATATTGAAGCTGAGACTTACCTTACCATAAACAAGTTGAGTGGCAAGCCTGGTATGCTGTGTCTTATTGCCAGAATCTTAGTAAATGTAACGTTTTAAAAGTTTGTTGTCTTTGTATATTAATAACAAGTTATGACAAGTTGAATTTAAATAAGAGTTACATTATTGCTCTTCCTGTGTCATATTTTACTAAGATTTTGTGCCTCATATCTACTGCTGAATTGTTTACTAGGAATGTTAAACGGAATTGATAATTCATTTTCATTTTTTTGTATAATCAGGTAACATGAAATACAACTTGATGTACAATTTTGCCTATTACAAAAGGCGTGCTAATTATAGTGGCATATGCACAGAACATGTTGGCATGACAACAGGCTGAATAAATAGCTATTTTACTTAAAAATAGCAGTGTTCTTATCAGCTCCCTTTGGACTGCAAGTAGACTTACAAAGATAAGAAACACTCCTAGATGTTAAGTTGTAGATAGGTAAGACATATCCCTAAATTTTTAGCTGTAAAAAAAAATTTCTTGGTTTCTTTAAATTTTATACTCAAAGCTACATACTATTTGCTAATAAAAGATATCTATATGCTTTTGAATACTCAGAAAATTTGAGGGACATTTTATATCCAGAAGAAAGTTTTCTAGAATTGTTCATGAAAATGCCAGAAGATAAATTTATCAGGTCATATGTTCATCACTTTTGTTATGACACAGAAGTATAAGTTTACAGACTAGTCTAGTATATGATGATTATATCCCACTAGAAGCAACAGTTTATTTTATTATATTGGAGAAGAAAGTGATTTGGCAGAAAACTACTCTTTTCAGACTGTTAACTGTCTGGGCAACACTTTTTTTCTAGTCCTATGATGGTAGTCTTAACAGTCTCCTCACAGGTATGGAAAGAAAAGAGTATTTGACAGAGTAATTTTTTAATTTTTATTTAGTTTTTGTTTGTTTGTTTTGGTGATAGGGTCTCACTCTGTTTCCTGAGCTGGAGTGCAGTGGACGATTTCAGCTCACTGCACTCCAGCCCACTGCAGCCTCGACCTCCCAGGCTCAAGTGATCCTCCCACCTCCATCTCCCAAGTAGCTGGGACTTCAGGTGCATACCACCACAGCTGTCTAATTTTTTTTATTTTTTTGAGACGGAATCTTGCTCTTGTTACCCAGGCTGGAGTGCAATGGCTCAGTCTTGGCTCACTGCAACTTCCACCTCCTGGGTTCAAGCAATTCTCCTGCCTCAGCCTCCTGAGTAGCTGGGGTTACAGGCATGCGCCACCACGCCTGGCCAATTTTTGTGTTTTTAGTAGAGTTGGGGTTTCTCCATGTTGGTCACGTTGGTCTCGAACACTTGACCTCAGGTGATACGCCCACCTCGGCCTCGGAGTGCTGGGATTACAGGCGTGAGCCACCGTACCAGGCCAATTTTTTCTATTTTTTGTAGAGCTGGGGTTCCACCATGTTGGCTAGGCTAGTCCCAAACTCCTGGGCTCAAGTAATCCGTCCCTCTCTGCCTCCCAAAGTGCTAGGATTACAGGTGTGAGCTACCGTGCCCAGCTGACAGAATAATATTATCAGTTATGTTTATTCTAGAGTTGCTACCCTGTGCAAATTACTAACATCTCTTCCTCCCTTCCAAACTACCCTTTTTCTTGACAAACTTTACACCAATTTTTTACAAATACAAGGTATGTTACTAGGATAATGGTACTAGAATAACCCATAAATTGGTGGATGTCCAGATAGAAAAATGGGCTTTATACTTGTGCTACCTCTTTGTAATTGTTTGGATTCCTTTGGCTGCCTGTGGTATATATATATATATATATATATACATATATGTTTTAAATACCATTAGAGTGTCCTGAATTTATTTTAATTAGCATACAGATTTACATTCCTTTGGTCAAGATGTATTAAAAACTTATTGCTTAATTTTCTGACATTTCATAGAGAATCATAGACAAGACTTGGAAACCAAGTGAGAAAAGTTATTCTTAAAACTTAAGTGACAGGTTTCACACTTTTTAAAAAATTGCCACTTTTTAACTTAAAATCTATGAATACTCATTTTGTTACTTGCTTAAGAAAAGTTTTGGGAAACTTTATTTTCTCCCTAACTGTATTTAATCATAGGTCATTCCATTCTTGACTTCCTGGGCTCAAGCCAGCTTCCCACTTCAGTCTTCCCCGTAGCTGGAACCTTTGATAGGCATGCACCACCACACCCTGCTAATTTTTAAAAATTTTTGTAGAGATAGGGTCTCCCTATGTTGCCCAGGCTGGTCTTGAACTCCTGGGCTCAAGCAGTCCTCCCACTTCAGTTTCCCAAAATGCTTAGATTACAAGCATAAGCCACCATGCCCAGCCTTTACTGTATTTAAATTTTTTTTTTTTTTATTTTGCATGTTCCCCTCCCCCTGCCTCTTCCCTCCATATTTTAAATTTTGTTTTTATATTTTATTTAAAAGTTAGAATGTAGTGTCCTAAATTCTAAATTACATTTTCTAAATATAATTTCTACAATTCTAAATACATTTTCTTGCCTTACCACAGTGAAGGCCAGCAGACGTAGATGACATGTTTGTTCTCTCTACCAGGATTTACCAGTCGGTCCAATCAAAGTTGGAGGGGTAAAAGTGAGTTTTTACATTTTTCATTTTTCTAGAAGCTCCCAGATTGAAGCCTGTTTGGATATCATAAAAGGGTGGTTGGTTAGAGTTTAGAGGAAGTTGTAATCTTTGAAGGAACTATTGATAGCCTGGGAAATTATTTCCACTTAAAGATTAAGGTTTTTATGGCCGGGCATGGTGGCTCATGCCTGTAATCCAAGCACTTTGGAGGCCAAGGCAGGCGGATCACCTGAGGTCGGGAGTTCAAGACCAGCCTGACCAACATGGTGAAACCCTGTCTTTTAAAAAAAAAAAAAGCAGTAAGAAATGTGTCATATGAGCTTTATTCATTTATGAAAAAAAAAGATTAGGGTTTTTGTAGTCTTAGTTATAATGTGTTCAAATATGTTTTCAACTGTTTATGTTTTCAACTGTTGTGTTGGTGCTGAAGGAGTATAAATGATATCAAATACTGCTTTAAGTGATGTTTAGCCCCAAAGAAAAGATAAATTTTGGAATTGTTATAAATTTTTTAATTACAATAGCTGGGTGTCGTGACTCCTGCCTGCAGTTGCAACTACTTGGGAGGCTGAAGTGGAGAATGGCTTGAGCCTGCCTGGGAAGTCGAAGCGGCAGTGAGCTATGATTGTGCCGCAACACTTCAGCCTGGGCAATGTGATACAGCAAGACCCTGCCTAAAAAATAAAAATAGGCTGGGCACTATGGCTCAGGCCTGTAATCCCAGTACTTAGGTAGGCTGGGGTGAGTGGATTCATTAAGCCCAGGAATTCGAGACCAGCCTGGGCAACATGGCAAAACCCCATCTCTACAAAAAATGCAAAAGATAAGTCAGGTGTGGTGGTGCTTGCCTTTAATCCCATATACTGGGGAGGCAGAGGTGGGAGGATCACTAGAGCCCAGGAGGTGGAAGTTGCATTGAGCTCAGATGGCGCCACTGCACTGCATCCTAGGCAATGCAGAGGAAGACCCTGTCTCAAAAAGAAAATAATAAATTTTTAGATCACAGAAACCGTAATGAAATTACCATATTTGGAGTGGTAGCAACCATTATTGCATACTTTTTCTAGTTACTTGAGAATCTTCTGTGTCTGGTTGCTGGGATGTTGCCATGGTCACATTCCATGTTGGGATTGGAGTAGTGAACTGTGGAAGCTCAGGATGCCCAGGCATGAAGCTAGGCTGTCTGGGAAGTCTGGTGTGTGTTAAAGCCATACTGGACATGGACCAAAAGGCTCTGAGGAAACTGGTGGAATCCATCAGTGAAACTGTCAAGAGCTGTAAGTACCGGCCAGACTTCAGTGCTGCCTGAACATCTTGATTCGTAGAAATGTTTAAAAAGCAAAAAGATGAGGATATATTAGAAAGATACAGGAGCCAACCTGAAAACTCCCAATGGCCAAACCTGAGCAACTTGAGCAGCAAAGTAACACAGTATTGATAGGCATCTTAGTCTATTTGGGCTTCTGAACAAAATACCATAGACCGGATGGTTTATAAGTAAAAGGAATGTATTTACAGTTCTGGAGGCTGAGAAGCCCAAGGCTGAGACAGATTCACTGTCTGGTAAGGAAGGGCCTGCTTGCTTTCTGGCTCATGGATGGCACTTCCTTGCTGTGTCCTCACTGAAATGGAAGGGACTAGCTAGCTCTCTGGGGCCTCTTACTTTATAAGAACATGAGGCCTAACTGCATCCCAAAGGCCACACCTCCTAATGTAATTACCTTTGGGGATAAAATTTCAACATGAATTTGGTGGGGGCAGGGAGGGGCCCAAACAGAAGATAGCAGTATGTAACTCGTAGTATAAAACAAATATGACTTAATACTGACATAAATAAATAATAATTATAAATAAATGGAAAAGAGAAAAATCTTTCTTACGGGAGAATTCTAAATAGTAGTGTAGATACCACTTTCCAGGAAGTAGAGCTTAATTCCCTATGGAGTGACTAGCTTCAAATGAATATTGTAGAAAGAGAAAAATAGTAACTACAGTGGAGAGAGCTGGCAGACTGTAGCTTAACCAAATGATAAAGTTTAACATCCATAGTGATACATCATGTTGAGATCATGTTTCTCTTTACATGTAACTAGAGCAGCACTTTACCTCTGTGGTATTCCCCAAAACACAATCACAGTCTAATCAAGAGAAAAACAGGCACACAGCCAGATGTGATGACAAGCACCTGTAATCCTAGCTACTGAGGAGGTTAAGGCAGGAGGTTATCTTGAGCCCAGGAGTTCGAGGCTGCAATGAGCTCACACCACTGCCCTCCAGCCTGGGAAACATAGCAAGATTCCATCTCTTAAAAAAAAGAAAAAAATAATTTTATGAAACAGGTAAACTTAAAATGATGACCATTTCATTCTACAAACTAAATCCAAAAGTGTCGTATTCATGAAAAGCAAGGAAAGATTGAAAACTATCACAGGTTGGAGGAGGCATGACAACCGAATATGGTATCCCGGATTGAATTCCGGTATTAAAACAAAGGATGTTAGTGTAAAAACTGTGGAAATCCAATTAAAATCTATAGTTAACCAATGTAGTGTACCAATGTTAATACATTAGTTTTAACAAATGTACCATGGTTATATAAGACATTAGCATTAGGAAGAAACTAGGTGAAGAGTATATTGGAACTCTGTAATATCTTTGCATCTCTTAATCTAAAATTAGTCCAAACTACAATGGGTCAATTTCTAGTATCTCAACACCATCCTCATTAATGACCCATGGTTTTCTTTTTCTTTTTTAGACAGAGTCTCACTTTGTCACCCAGGCTGGACTGTAGTAGTGGCACAAACACAGCACACTGTACCCTCGACCTCCCTAACTCAAGCCATTGGGCCTGCAGGCATGTGCCACCACACTTGGCTAATTTTTTGTAGAGATGGGGTTTCATTATATTGCCCAGCTAGTCTCGAAATCCTGAGCTCAAGCAATCTGCCCACCTCATCCTGGGATTACATGGTAAGGCCACCATGCCTGGCTTTAAATGGTTTCTTGACCACATGTGCAAGGTATTTAGATATAATGAAATCTGAGATACACTGATAAAATTCAGGAGAGGTTAGCTTATTACTTGCTGAAGATTGTATCTAAAATATTTGATTGCTTTGTTGGATGACCCTCAGAGCAGCTTCTGACTTACTATTCCAACCTCCCTTTTCTCACACTTCCATTTTCACACCACTGTTGGTGCTAACATTTCCATTCAGATAATAACTTTATATGAGTTGAGCAGGGTTGCTTTCAGGCAAGCATTAATATACTATATATAATGCATCTAGACCTGAGCTGCCTTTTTCTTCATATTTCAAACAAGAAAAACATTCCAAGTTTTTGTCCTCAAAGCAGCTGCATTCGTCTTATGACGTAACCTTGAAAATCACCAAGCCTCATTTTCACTGTACTCTATTGGTTAAAGCGGTTACAAAAATCCTCCTAGTTTTAAAGAGAGAAGACATAGACCCCTATCTCTCTAAGAGAGGAGTATCAAAGTCACATTGCACAAAGAGCATGTTCAATGGGATACATTGATATGATCATCTTTAGGAAAATACAGCCTCATCAGAATTCACCATTAATATGGTAGTTTCAAGAATCTACTGCCAGGTGCCCAGTAGTCTTTTATCCCTCACCCACCTCCCAGCACTTTGGGAAGCTCACGCCTGTAATCCTAGCATTTTGGGAGTCTGAGGTGGGTGGATCACTTTAGGTCAGGAGCTCAAGACCAGCCTGGACAACATGGTGAAGCCCCATCTCTACTAAAATTATAAAAATTAGCCAGGTATGGTGGCAGGCGCCTGTAATCCCAGTTACTCAGGAGACTGAGATAGGAGAATTGCTTGAATTCGGGAGGCAGAGGTTGCAGTGAGCTGAGATCATGCCACTGCCCTCCAGCCTGGGTGAAAGAGCGAGACTCTACCCCAACAAAAAACAAACAAAAGCAAAACAAA